AGAGAATTCACACGGGTGAAAAACCATATAGGTGCACAGTGTGTGGGAAAGCCTTCAAGCAGAGCCACCACCTGGCCCAGCATCACACAACACACACGCACGAGAAACTCTTTGAGTGCCAGGAGTGTAAGAAAGCCTTCAGCCAGAATTCATACCTCATTGTGCATCAGAGAATTCACACCGGAGAAAAACCGTATAAGTGTAAGGAGTGTACAAAATCCTTCAGGCAGCCTGCACACCTGGCTCAGCATCAGAGGATCCACACCGGGGAGAAGCCCTACAAGTGTAAGGAATGTGGGAAGGCCTTCAGGGATAGTTCTACCTTTGCTCAACATCAGAGGTGTCACAACGACAAGCGGCCCTTCCAGTGTGTTGAGTGCGGCCAAGCCTTCAGGTACAGCATGTCCCTTACTCGTCACTTCAGGCATTATCACACTGGAGAGAAGCCGTTTGACTGCACTGATTGCGGGAAAGTCTTCAGTGTTCACGTCGGACTGACTCTGCACAGGAGAATTCACACTGGAGAGAAACCTTACAAATGTACCGTGTGTGGGAAGGCCTTCCGCAGTGGGTCTTCCCTGACTGTCCACCACAGAATCCACACCGGCGAGAAACCTTACAAATGTGATGTTTGTGGAAAAGCCTTCAGCCACAGCATGTCACTCACTGGCCATCAAAGAGTACATTCTGGAGAGAAACCTTATAAGTGTAAGGAGTGTGGGAAAGCTTTTCGGCAGAGTATACATCTTGTTGTTCATTCAAGAATTCATACTGGAGAAAAACCCTACGAATGTAAGGAGTGCGGGAAAGCTTTTCGAGAAAGTTCACAGCTGACCACTCATCAGAGAAATCACACAGGAGAAAAACCTTTTGAATGTAAGCAGTGCGGCAAGTTTTTCAAAAGAAGTACCTATCTTGCCAGACATCAGAAAATCCATACAGGAGAGAAGCCTTATGAATGTAAAGACTGTGGGAAAACCTTCACTCATACTGCCTACCTTATAAGACATAAGAGAGTTCATACTGGAGAGAAGCCTTACAAGTGTAGCGAATGTGGAAAGGCCTTTGGGGATGGCTCGTCCCGCGCTCAGCATCAGAGACTTCACACAGGTCAGAGGCCCTATGTGTGTGATAGGTGTGGAAAGGCATTCAGAACCAGGTCATCCCTTAATTGTCACCAAAGATGTCATACTGCAAAGAGACCTTAAAACTGTATCCTCCTCTGGAAAACCCTTTAGCCAGTGACAAATCTTTACCATTCATCAGAGAATTTAACTTTCAACCAGATTGTTTATTCTACAGGGAAGAATTCACACAGGTAAGAGAGCTCTTAGGAATGCGAGGACCGTGGAGAAGTCCTCGGGCAGGGTTCTTAAAATGTCCATCATTGGCGAGTTCTCCGTGCAGAGGCCTCTCAGGCATTCCTCGGTGTCACCAAGTCCTGTGTATACACCTGCTAAGTATGTCCATTTATTTTTGTTCCTGTTACCATACTCCAAAATACAATTGTTTTACTTGGACTTTTCCAAATGTCTGTGATTGGTATTGTTTTCTTCAAGTTTATTATTCATTTTATAATCAGAGAATCTTTTAAAAATATAAATGTTATTTATGTAACTCTTCTAAAACCCATTGTGAAATGTCTATTTATTGTATATGAGATGCTTAGCAACTTGACATTAAATTTGGATGGAGACCATTCCTCCAATGATTAGCAGACATGTCAGCACAGAACAGAGCCACACACAGAAGTAAAGGAACATGAGGGGCATCTGTGAGCCAATAGCGTTATTGGGACCAAGGGTCCAGCTTTATTTTCTTTCTTTCTATGTCTGTCTGTCTGTCTGTCTGTCTGTCTGTCTATCTATCTTGAGACAGGGTTTCTCTGTAGCTTTGGAGCCTGTCCTGGAACTAGCTCTTGTAGACCAAGCTGGCCTCGAACTTACAGAGATCTGCCTGCCTCTGCCTCCCACGTGCTGGGATTAAATGTGTGTGCCCTCACTGCCCGGCCCAGTTTTCTTTTGTTGAGTTGAAACAAGCGGACATGAGTCCTGGGAGGTCAGGTCATGTGATCGCTGTGGCATGTATTCCCAGGCCATCTGCAGCAGTCCATTTAAAGAGGTGGTGGGAACAGGGAGCCCAGTTTGACAGGAGATCTGCCTGCTTCTACCTTCTGGGTGTTATTAAAGAAATGTGCCCCTACATCTGCCCTTTTTCTCTTTGGTTTGTTTCTTGGGCAGTTTGGATCTATCTGTCTGTTCATTTGTCCATCTATCCATCTGTCTATTTGTCTATTTACGCACTGGGTTTTTTAAAAAGCATTTTGTTTCATTGATTTTTCTTAACATTCTGTTTGGAATTTAGCTGATTCTCTCTGTCACTGTCTCTGTGTCTCTGTCTCTCTCTGTGTGTACGTGTGTGTATGTATGTCTGCCTGTCGCTTCCTCTTCCCAGCCCTTGGTTTACTTTGATATTTTTTTAAATCCACTTTTTATTTTTAAGTTGGAAGCTTAGTTCTGAGCTTCCATTTTTTCTGATATCTACATTAACTACTTTTTTTCTAAAAAAAAAAAAACCTTTAGTTGCCAGTCACAAGTCTGGACATGTATTTGTATTTTCATTTGGTTCTAAATTTGATTTTCAAAATGAAGAAAAATTGACTTGGCTATTTGATTCAAGTTAGAGGCGATTATATGATACTTTTATATGTATCATCTAGTTTTGTTATTCTGAATGATTTATTTTTAATTATATGTGTCTCTGTGTGGGTATGTGCACATGTGTGAAGATGCCCTCAGAGGCCAGAACAGGGGGTCAAATACCCTGGCGCTGGAGTTAAAGGTGATTGTAAAGCTCTCAGCTGAACTCAGGTCTTTTGCACACTTAACCACTGAGCTACCTCTCCAGCCCCGATTCATTTTTTTCTTTCAAAATATTTTTTTATATTTTCCTAAAAACGTACTCTTTGATTTGATTCAATATTTAGGATAGTGCTAATTCTCAAATATTTCGGAGGTTTGTAAATCCCTTTATATTAGTTTTGTACATTTGTTTGTTTGATATCTAACCAGGACGAATATGGTATCGTAATTTGTGCTGTCAGTCCGTTTGTCTGGAAACAGAACACATTATGCTATAATTCCTTATTTACTTATTCAGAGTCAGTATGTGTTCTGCAAGCATTGGAGTATGACAACAGACACTGAAGAGACAAGTAACAGAGTTTGTCAGTTATTCAGCAGTTGGTCTTTCTGACTCTGGAACAGCCTTTTCTGTGACACTGAATTGTATTGACCTTACCTATGCTGTGCAGGCATCTCAAAGGCTTCCTTGATTGCTCTAATCAGGGATCTTAGTTATTGAGATCATGAGTCCTTGAAAAGAAGGCCAGTCTAGAGTCAGGAGACGGGACTGATGGTGGCTGCACTAATTGCAATGCCACATGTGCTCTTTCCATTGAGGTCATTTGCTGAGCAACAAGCCCTCAGTTCCAGAGCATAGTCCCTGTTTCTACGTGTGGACATGAACAGGAGGAACACAACAGCTAGTGTGTATGAAGGGGAATTTAAAGGGTGGTGACAAGAGGTTGGGTGTTGTGGCGCACGCCTTTAACCCCAGCATTTGGGAGTCAGAGGCAGACAGCTCTCTATGTGTTTGAGGCCATCATGCTCTACACTGAGAGTTTCACATCAGGCAGGGCTACATGGTGAGACCCTGTCTCAAAAGCATGAAGAAAAAAGTAGTGAGAAGAGGTAACTGGAGCTCTGACGCGAGGCGGCGCTCCTGATGATAAATGAAGGTCGAAAACAAACTGCCACGGCCTTGTGTGTAACACTCACGGAAAAAAGCCTTCTCAAGATCAGGGACATCGTACAAGGAGGGAGCAGAAAGATGTAAGAGTCTGAAAATGGTGGGGAGCGCTGTGGAATGCTTCTGGACTGTGCTGCTCATGAGCTCACAGAAACTGTGACTCTTGCCTAAGACTGGGCCAATGAGTATTCCACCATGGATAGAAGGGCTTACTTACCCCGCCACACTTAGCTGAGAAACTATTGGCAAATGAAGGCAGCTGGGAGAAAGAAAGGGAGTCATTTTTCTTTGGGGATGTGCCTTCCCATCCCACCCCATAGATTGCCCGTGCTCAAGTCGATGGTCAAGGCATGACCCATGATCACGAAGCACCAACTGGATTCAGTTGGTTATATTAAAAAACAAAACAAAACAACAAAAAACCATGAATGTGGAAGTATTGGGGGTGTCTGATGGGGATGGCTGGGAGAGCAAATGAGTTGGATATGACCAAGATACGGTGTATATACAGATCTGAAATTGACAAAGAATAAACATTTTAAAGGAGCATCCCAGAAGAAAATCTGGGGAAGATTGCAGACCTAGAACCTAGTACATGTATTAGCATTGAGGTGGTCGCAGCAACTAAATCCCAAGCCGACTAGCACCTCCAACCAGAACCACTGTGCATGATTGTCAAGGCCCACATATTACCCCAGCCCAATTTACAACATCTCCCAACTCCCCTCAGTCAAATCAACTTCAAACGACCCACCGGTCGCCCTGCCGCGGCGCACGTACACTCCTACTGCCACCTCAACTCCCAGAAACCTCTGGGGAGCTGTTTGGTATCTCGTGCGACCCGTGTTTCCGGCAGGGTACCGTAGTTCACAGTAGTGGTCTCCCCTCACAGGGCTGGAGCCTGGCAGGCTGAGTCCCGCTCGGCGCCACTGATTTTTTTTTTCCCGACTGCAGACTACACTTCCCAGCGGGCCTTGTGCGCAAGCAAAGTCCACTTCCGGCTCGTTCGGGCTGAACTGCCTGAGGGTCGGAACCTTCGGGGCCGGGTTAGGCAGGGAGAGGGCGTGGCTGGTCGGGGCGTGGTGGGCGTGGACTGGAGGGTGCGGGTGTGGCCGGGGGTGTGTCCGTGAGGCGCGGCCTTGGAGGGCTTCTGCGGCCTGGCCAGGAGAGCGGGAGACCCTCGTGTGACATGCGTGGGGAGGCGAGTGCGGGGCCATGCGAGCCCCGGCGCCCCATGGGGCGCGGCGCCCTCTTCACAAAGCCCAGGGCTGGTGGAGGTCCTGTGGCGGGGACTTCAATCGCTCGTGGGCGCCCCGCTCGGGGCAGGCCGCTCTCCAGGAATGGCCTGGCCTCCCAGGGCGGGCACGGAGCAGTGACCTCGGGGCCTACGCACAGAGGTGAGTGACTTGTGTCCAGCCTGAGTGGACAGAGATGAGTCTATTCTGTGTGTGAAGGGAGGGTAAGGTCCAGAGGTTTGAGTCCTTGGTGCTGGAGATGGTGTCTCTGGACTGAGTGCGAAGTTAAATGGGAATCCACCCTTGAAAGCGCAACTTTGAGCCAGAGCAGTCAAGCAGAAGTGTAGCGGGGACGTTGACGACGTCAGGTCACCTTAGTTTAGACTTGTCTCCATGCCCATGTTTCAAGAGAGGAAACTCCCTGGGTGGCTGGAGAGATGGCTCACAACCATCCCTAACTCCAGTGGCAGGGGTTATAATTCCTTCTTCTGAACTTCATGGGTACAAGGCACGCACATGGTGCACTTCTATACACGCAAGCAACACAAACACATAAACTTTCAAAAAAGAGACAACCCCACTCCCCGTTCCACCTTTTGCCTACTCCAGCACAGGGAATTAGCGGGATCTCATCTCTTCTTTTCAAAATGGTTCTACCCTGCTTGTGTAGGGTGTAGTCTTGTGTAGACTTGGTATCTAGCCCTTCCTTTTCCCCAGCTCTGCTTTCCAGAGATACCAACTTCCTCCAGGAGAGTAACCGCAAACAGGAAGCTACCCCTACGGGGACTAAACTTAAAGCCCAGTCTCAGGTGAGTCATGTTTTCTCTCTGCTTCCTGAAATAGTCTGGCTTTTTCACCACTTAATGATGTTTATTTTCTCTGAAAAGTTTTCAGTTTAAGAGACCTGTTCTGGGCGCTGTTTCCTCATATTCTGGTGAGTGATGGGCTACAAGGATAGCTTCAGACTGATCAGGGCTCTTCCTCTGCCTTCCTTTTCATCTCAACAATTCTTTTTTGGTTGAAAAAAATGATGTATCCCTTTTCTTTGTTCCACTTGTCTCAGAAGGACTTTTTTGGACAAGGATTATCTACACAGCCCTGAGTGTCTCTGTAGACCAGCCTGGCTGTGAACTCACAGAGATCCTCCTGCCTCTGTCTCCTGAGTAGAGGGATTAAAGGTGTGCACCACCAAGCCCTGCCTCAGAAGGGTTCTTATGTTCAGGAATGCAGCAATCTTTCTACCTGTTTTCTTTGATGTCCTCAACATAGGAGAAATATATTATGGCTAAGTTCCCTTTAGGGTTTGAGGCAAGGGCTCAGTGGGAAGAACACTTGCTCTGTAAGTATGAGGACCCGAGTCTGAATCCCTAGTACCTATGTAAGAAGGCAAGTGTGTTCCTGTAGACCTCAGCGTTTCCAGGCAGAGGCACATACATTTTAGAGCTCTCTGGCCCATCAGCCTAGCCAAAAAGGTGAACTTCTTCTAATTTAGTGAGAAACTGTCTCAGAGCAGTAAAAGGAGCTGCTGAGCATGCTGCTCTCTCTCTCTCTCTCTCTCTCTCTCTCTCTCTCTCTCTCTCTCACACACACACACACACACACACACACACACGAGTTTTTTACTGAGCTGGTGAAATGGCTCAGTGAGTAAAGCTACTTGCTGCCACTCTGGACAACCTGAGTTTGATCTCAGGGAGGAAGGAGAAAACTGATTCCTGAAAGCTGTCTTCTGGCATTCACATGCATGCTTGTGTACACCCACATACAAATAAATATAATCACTTTTTTTAGGGATAATTTTAGATTTAAAGCTTTTCTTGATCTCTAGGAACTCACAACCTGTTGACAGAAAGTCAAGGAAGCATGCAAGAGTCCAGTTTTCCTACGTTGGGTCTGGGACCCCTTTCTCTTTTCCTTTGATTTTGAGACAGGGTCTCACTATGTATCCTTGGCTAACCAGTAGCTTGCTGTGTAGACAACCTTGAACTCATGGAGATCTGCTTGTCACTGCCTTCTGAATCCTGGGATTAAAAGTGTCACCACAACACCAGCCCTTCATCCTTATCTCACTCTAGGCCTCCTGCCTCTGTGCTTCTATGACCTCTGCTTCTACTCCTTTCTCTTCTGAAGAGTTCTCTGCAGGTCAGCCCTTGCCATGTCAGCTGTCTTCTCAAAACTTTCCAAGGTGTCCTTGAAGACAGACCCCATCCCTAAAGTGATTAAGAAGAAGTCTGAGAAGTGGCTCCTTATCTCTGACATCTGCCTTTTACTTTCATTCTCTTTCTTCCTGGAATTTGCTTTCTCGTTCATGATCATACCCTTACACACATGGGAGAGAGGGAGAGAGAGAGGTGAGAGGTAGCGGGGTGGGGGGGGGAAGAGAAAGAATAGAAAGGGGGAGGGAGGGAGCTGGGGTGTGGCTGCTCTGTTATTTCAGGTACTCAGTATGATGCTGTATGTAGTCCAAGTAGCATTTTGAGCCCAGGAGTTTGAGATAAGCCAAGTCACCAGGGCAAGATTTTGTTTCAGAAAGGAAAAGGAAAGTCAAAACCAGTTATTTCCAGTTTTAAGAAAACATCTTACTGCTTTTCTTTCCTTTGGGAGTCACCAAATTCCAGTCTTCTTGATGGTGACAAAGTAGTAACAGATGCTGGGGGAAGTAGACCTGAGTGTAGTTGGAATCAGTCATGGCTAGACACAACATGTTTGTTACTTTGGGACACTTAGAAAAAGTGATTTTTTAAAAATTGTTTTCGGGAAGGAGTTTTGTAATCTGAAGATTTTCCCTCTTTTTTATTTCTGTTTAAAAACTAAAATCGATGTGGTGTACTCCTTTTAGTCCCAGCACTCTGAAGGCAGAGGCAGGTGAGTTTCAGCCAGGGCTACACAGAGAAACCCTATCTGGAAAAACCAAAACCAAATGGAAACCAAAAAACCTATAAAAGCATTCTGTTGTGGTGCCACTAACGTAAGCTGCACTGCTGTCTACACAGTGTGGTTTCATATTCCGAAAAATAGGCATCATTTCCTTGAATTCAAAAATTTCTAAAAACATACAGATTAAAAAATTTAGAGAAAGATGACTTGGTTTGTTTAGTAAAGCATATATGAAAAGTATTTGAAAATTTGGGGGAAAATGAGTACAAGACTGAGTATCCAGAATCTTGAAGTTGGAGCTCTGGGACTGGACCCTGTAAAAGCCTGTGGGAGGTTGTGTGAGAATGTAAATGTTCCTGGACCAGCAGTCAGCAAGGTCTGAGAACCCTCATCTGCTTTGCCGCCTTTCCCTTTTTAGCAGAGGGTACCTTTTACTTACTCTTTGTCAGTTTTTTGTGTGTTAACAGTGTATCTTGACCGTAGGCACCACGAATCCTTCCTCCCGCCTCCTCATCTGTAATCCCCCTCTTTACATCATTTCCTTTTTCTGTGAGTTGTGCATTGAATCAGTGCCGGCTGCTGGGGTGCTGCCTGCCTTTGTTTGATCTTGTGCAGGTGACCACAGCTGAGCAGTTCCTGAGTGGAGCAGCCTTGTCATATCCAGGAAGTAGCATTGTAGGTGGACTCTTCTGTCCCACCCTCCAGTTCCCAAATAACCACACAGACTTACTCTTAATTATGAGTGCTCGCCTGATAGCTCAGGCTTGTTACTAGCTAACTTTTACATTTTAAATCAACATACATTTCTTATCTATGCTCCGCCTCATGGCAGTACCTCTTTTAGCATGGCACATTTATCTTGCTTGTCTCTACATCTCCTCACAGCTCCTGAGACTCTTCCTTTCTTCTTCCCAACATTTCAGTGCCCTGAGAAATCCTGCCTAGCTATCGACAAGTCAGCTCTTTATCATTAGCCAATGAGAGTAATACATATTCACATTGTACAGCGTTTCATGTCATTAGCACTCCTCCCCGTCCTCCAGCTATTACATTCTTCCCACCCCTTCTTCCAGAGCCTTTGGGGTGTAGGACTGATCGAGAGGTTTTGTTTTGGACTGAGCACTCGACATTCACTTATTATCAGGACTTAGACCTGTGTCTTTGTATTAGCTGCTGTCCACTAATTCTGTCTTTGAACACTATTTGAAATACTGTGTTTGTATTGAAATGTTTGCATATTAGTCTACTCGAAGCTTTCTACTGCCTAATCCTGCTGAGTTTTGACAATTAGAGGTATTTAGCTTCTGGTCAACTCAGGAGACTAGTGTTGATCTTTCTAGCGAGATGAAAATGCCTGTCGAAAAGCTGTCAGTTCTGTTCTCAGTGGCAGGATGTAGGCGGGAAGTAGAGCGCCGTTTGTTTTAGGCTGACTGGCTCAGGCAGCCATGCAAGCTCATGTTTTGCTCAAGCTCCCAGAGCGTTCTCAGCTCTCCTGGTGTTGTCAGGTGACATGTACTGCACGTGGTCCTTCAGCCTCCAGCTCAGGGGAGTTCCCTACAAGGGGTTAATGACACTGGGGCTGCGGAGATGGGTTGTTGGGCAAGCATGAGGGCCTGAGTTCACTCCAACACCTGTTTACCCATTTTGGTTTTTTTTGGGGTTTTTTTTTTTTTTTTGATAGAACTTGATTGAGGAAGAGATGCACAGCATTGCCCCCTGGCCTACACACACGCACACACACACACACACACACACACACACACACACAAAACCACTCATCAACCATTTTGTCTTGTCCTTCTATGATGGTGTTAAAATGCCTTCAGAGTTCGGCAGCAGGCTAAAGTTACGATGATCTATTCACAGACTCTGGCCTGTGGGAACTAGCTTTCTAGCACACAGGCCTCCCAGCGGAAGAGCTCAGGTGTTGTTCTGGTTTGTGATTGGTTGAATGAGGACTTAGGTTTGGTACAGTGAGAGATACTCAAATTGGAGGCTGAGAAGATTGCTTTATTCATCCCCCCCCCCTTGTTTTGAGGGAGGATCTCCAGAGGTGTGTGCATGTGTGTGTGTATATATATGTTGTGTATGTGTGTGGTGTGGTATCACAGTGCAGTGTGGCAGTCAGAGGACAACTTGCAGGTTCTCCCCTTCCACCATGCAGATTCCAGAGATCAAACTCAAATTGTCAGGCCTGGCAGCAAGAACCTTCGCCCACTGAGACATCTTTTAGTCCACAATCTAAAAAGACCAAATCTAAAATCCCTGACCATTACTTCTAGCTAGGATCCTCGTCTTAGAGAAATCTCCGTCACTGTTTTAGGATCTCTCCTTTCCTACGTTTATGGTACATTTCTCCCTGTACATGTGGGCCTACGAAAAACAAGGTAACTCTGTGGTGTGTGCGTCACACCATCTGTGCTGGACAGTTTCCTGTCAACCTGACACAGGCTAAAGTCATGTGAGAGGAGGGAGCCTCAATGAAGAAAATGCCTCTGTAAGACAGTGTTGTAGGCAAGCCTGCAGGAATTTTCTTAATCAGTGATGGATGGGTGAGGGCCAAGCCCATTGTGGGTGGTGCCATCCCTGGGCTTCTGTTCCTGGGTTCTTTAAGAAGGTGGGCTGAATATGCCAGTAAGCAGCATCCGTCAATGGCTTCCTCAGCAGCTCCTGCCTCCAGGATCCGGTGTCGATACATAAGTCAAATTAACCTGTTTCTCCTCAAGGTGCTGTGGTCGTGGGGTTTCATCACAACAACACTAACTGAAACTAAGATACCACCTTGTTGTTCTTATTCTACAACTTGTGTTTTGGGGCACAATATTTCCTCAGTGTCTACCATGTCATTATATTGTGACTCCTCTCCTTTCTTCCCTCTTCTTCCTCTCCCATCCCATCCCATTCCATTCCAAATTTTATATTTTGAGACATGGTCCCACATAGTCCAGGCTGGCCTTGAACTTGATATTTAGGCCTTGAATTCCTGATATTCCTGCCTCCATCATTCCTAATGCTAGAATATGAGCATGTGCTACCATGGCCAATAGGCTACATCTCTGTCTCTGTCTATCTCTGTGTGTGTGTGTTTGTATTCCATGCTAGCCTCAAACTTGCTTGGAGTCCTTCAGTTTCTGCTTCTCAACTGATGTAATTACACACTCATTTCTTTTTTTCTTTCTTTTTTTTTTTTTTTTGGAAAGAGGTAGATCATGTTTTAGTGTTTCTGAACATCCAGTGAAAATGATAGGCAATAGCATCCCTTAGGCCCCATCTGGGAGATCAGCTGTTTGGATCTTTTGAGGGTCTTCTCCTGGTTTCTTTTCTGATCCTTGTGCTGTTCCAAGCCACACATGTATCACAGGGTTGAAAAAGGCTCGAAGAACCTACAGTCCTCAGGACAGCTTGGCTTTCAGTATGTAGTGTCAGAAAATTCTGACATTTTCTGTGAGTGCATGCCTTTGCTGGCTGGTTTCATGTCAACTTGAGAAGAGGGAACCTCAATAAATGTTGTCATAAGATAGAGTCCTAGACAGGCCTACAGGACACTTTCTTAATGATACTGGGGAGGGCGCAGTTCATTATGGGTGGGGCCACTCCTGGCTGGTGGTCCTGGTTCTATAAGAAAACAAACTGAGCAAGCTGTAAGGAATAAGCCAGTAAGTGGCACTCCACCATGGCCTCTGCGTCAGCGCCTGCCCCGTTCCTGCCCAGTTTGATTTCCTGTCCCGACTTCCTTCAGTGATGAACAACACTGTGGAAGTGCAAGCCAAATAAACCCTTTCCTCCATGACTTGCTTTTGGTCATGGTGTTTCGCCACAGCAATGGAAACCCTGATTGAGATGGCCTGCAAGTGCGTCTCCATCCTGAAGGCCTGGGGTGAGGGCTTGAGCACAGGGTGGGAGGTCGTTGTTCATCTGAAAGCTCTCTGCTCACCAGTGTTCATCGGTGCTGGCTCAGAAACAATGCATTTTTGTCATTTCAGGGCTTGGTCACATTTGGGGACGTGGCTGTTGTTTTCTCCCAGGAGGAGTGGGAATGGCTCAGCTCCGAGCAGAGGAGTCTATATTGGAAGGTGATGCTGGACAACTACAGGAACCTGGTGTCAGTGGGTAAGGGGATCCCCACTCCTGCCCCCGCCTCCCCTGGTCCCTGTAGCACCCTCTTCTGTCCTGTCATTCCAAGTCGAGACAGACCCCAGCATGACCACATCCTGTTTTTCTTTCTTCTGTTTTTCTATGGACCTAGGGCTTTGTGCTTCGAAGCCAGATATGATCACCTTGTTGGAGCAAGGGAAAGATCCCTGGATGATGAAAAGAAAGACGACAAGAGGCCATTGCCCAGGTGAGCATGAGGACGTGGGGCAGTGGGGCTGCTGCTGGCCCAGCTCATTCCTGCAGATGCACAATCTCACCAGCAGACTCTGCGGCCTCATTGTAGTAGGAGCTGCAGGCAGGCCTGCTTTTCATCCCACCTGGCTCCCCGCATAGCTAGCTTTACACCCGAAATAACAACACATAAACTGTATTCATTTAAACACTGCCTGGTCCATTATATCTAGCCTCTTCTTGGCTAACTCTCATATCTTGCTTAACCCATATTTAATAATCTGTGTAGCACCACGAGGTGGTGTCTTACCTGAAAAGATTCAGCATGTCTGACCTGCGTCCATCTTGGGCCGGAGCTTCATCGCGCCTGTCTGAGGCGTCTTAACTTACTGCCTTCTTCCTCTCAGTATTCTGTTCTGTCTTCCCCACCTACCTATCTTCTGACCTATCAGGCCAAGCAGTTTTCTTTATTGATTAACCAATGAAACAACAGATTGACAAATGACCTTCCCACATCACCTTGTCAGCTTGGGCTTTGCCGTCTTCATGCTCCCTCTCTGTTCTCCAGCATAGCTACATCCCCTTACAGACAAATTACTTTTCTCTACATCCCTCCTTTGCCTTTCAGTCTTATGGACTCATCTTTTTAAAATATATGTATGTATGTATGTGTTTATGTGTGTACATATATGTTTAGGTGAACACACCTGTGTGTATATGTGTTTATATGTAGGCCAGAGGTCACAGGTCTTCCTCTGTCACTCTGTCTTTTTTTTTTTAATAACTTTGTGTATGTGGCTGTTTTGCCTGTGCATATGTCTGCGTGCTGTACACATGCATGACTGGTGCCTGCAAAGAGGACAGTAGCTCTCCTGGAACTGGAGTTACAGTTGTGAGCCACCATTTAGGTGTTCGGAATTGAACCCGGGTCCTCTGGAAGAGTAGCAAGTGCACTTAACAGCTGAGCTGTCTCTCTAGCTCTGTCTCCTGTATTTTTTTATTTTAAAAAATGATTTTGTGTGTCTGGGTATTTTGCCTGCATGTATATCTGTGTATCACATATGTGCCCTCCCCCCACCATGCAGCACATAGTAAGAGCTGTTTGCTTTGTTCATGTCCTTTTAGACTTAATGGCTTTGCAGGAGACAAAGGAGTTCCCTCCAGAGGTCTTAAGTGAAGAAAAGTTATCCCAGGCAGTGCGGAGAAACCAGCCCCTGCCCCGCAGACCCAAGTGCTCTGTGTTAGGAGAAAACTGGGGTGAAGATACTGTGTTCCAGACACCAAGGGTAAGCAGGGATAACCTTCAGGCAGCCCTTTATGATTCCTTGGGCAGTGGAGAAATTCCCATTGCATACACTATTTCCTGTGGATGGATTGAGGAAAGGGTTATATTATATTAAAACATATGGTAAAACCCTGTGTGTGTATGTGTGTGTGTGTGTGTGTGTGTGTACAGATAGATGGAGGGGGGTGAGACACAAACATGTTCTTCAGGTGACAGAAGTTTGTTGTAGAGCAAGTGTCTGAGAACTCTGACCATGATCTCAGTAGTTCCTCCTGTTCCCTCTGCTGGGAGAATTCCTCCCTTAGAAGATGAGAATATCCACTTTCCTCTGAAGCACAATTAATAAAAACTCAGAGAGAGAGAGAGAGAGAGAGAGAGAGAGAGAGAGAGAGAGAGAGAGATAGATAGATAGATATTGGGGTTCAACCTGAAGATTGGAAAAGCAAAACAGCCGCCACTGACTATTACTTCAACCTTGGTCCAAAAATCCTGCCTCCAGGAATCTCAGAATGAGCCTGTGGTTGAGAGCTGTCTCCTTCCATTTTATAATCCTCTCTAGTTCTGGGTATAAAGGCATGCACCACTACCGCCTGGTTTCTGTTGCAAGCTAGTGTGGCTGCTGGGATTAAAGGTGTGTGTCTGTTACCTGGTCTGTAGGGCTGACCAGTGTTGCTGTTTTACTTTCCTGATCCCCAGGCAAGCTTTATTAAAATACAAATGAACTGCCACTACACTCCTCACAATGTCCTGATGACCAAATGTCTCAAATTGTATTGCTGTGATAAAACACCATGACCAAAAGGAGCTTGGGGAGGAAAGGGTTTATTTCATAGTATGTCTTATGGCCCATCATCTAGGGAAGTCAGGACAGAAACTTAAGCTGGAAGTGATACAGAGGCTATGTAGGATGCTTTCTTCCCATGGCTTTTTCAGCCTGTCCTTTGATATCTTGGACCATAGGTACAGAGGTGGCACCACTCACAGTGGGCAGGGCCTTCCCATATCAGTCACTAAGAAAATACCCTGCAGGATTGCCTATAGGCCAGTCTGGTGGGCAGATTTCCTTAACTGAAGTTCTCTATTCTGTATCAACTTAACATAAAACTAGCCAGCACACCAAATACAGTTTCACCAGAGTTCATCCAGAACTAATGTATGTATTGGGGTCATTTCCAGAGCTTAGGTCAGGAAATGCTGGGAGGAGAGTGGGTGACTGCAAAGTGGCCGCACTGGAAAGTCTTCACCCGTCACGAACAGTGGCTTCTTCGTAGTGTCATAGATAGAATTCCCCCCCCCCCCCCGTTTTATTGAATCTCCTTTCAACAAGCCTCCCCCGCCTGTGTACTCTCTGATGCCCTGTACAGTTAGGGCAGAACTGCAATCCGATGTCTGGGAGAAAGTGGCTGGGATCTCAGGTGAGGGTCCTGTGACTCTCACCTTCTCTAAGAGAGTGTCATCAACAAACAGGCTACTCTTGCTGGTCTCTTGTTAGAAGGCGTGGCTGATCGATGAAGATGGCAGCTGTTTTTCTCAGAGGACCTCACTCTATGACATCTTCATTTCTCAATACCTCAACTGTGCACTTGAGCACATGCAAGCGTGCGCGTGCACACACACACACACACACACAAGTCAATTCACAGTAAACCTCTATTGCTCAGAATTCAGCTGATACCTATGGTCCAGAGTGTGCTGTTTACAGTGTGTGGACACATTCCACCCTACTCTGGCCACCCAGGTTCATGAATGTGTTTGTATCTTTTCAGGGCTTGAAGACCATCACAGATATGGCTAGAGACGGCTCTCCACAGCTTGCATCAGCTTTGAAGAGTTTCTGCAAGAATATGACATGGGATAACTGTGATGACCTGAGGTCCTTAGGTAAGACCTTCTCCCTTTCAGATCTGAATCAATCTTCAGGAGCCCTTGCTTTTCATTTTTTGTTTCTTTAATATATACTTTAAAGTGTGTGTGAGAACCTGCTTATGGAGGTCAGAAAAGGGCATTAGACTCCCTGGAGCTGGAGTTAGAGGTGATTGTACACTGCCTGATATGAACACTGGGAACCAAACTCAGTCGCCTACTGGAGAAGTGCTGTCTGTATAGATCTCTCTCTCTCTCTCTCTCTCTCTCTCTCTCTCTCTCTCTCTCTCTCTCGCACGCACGCACGTACGCACGCACGCACTGTTTCTAACTGTTCCTGTAGTGCTGTGTGATAATCCTTCTATGTGCTGTGAATATGTCTTATTCTTATGGGTTAATAATAAAGCTGATTGGTCCATAGCAAAGCAGGATGTTGAGGACTGGGATGAAGAAGGGTGGGAAGAGGGAGAAGCCAATGAGCATCTAAGAGGACAGGTAAAGCCACGAGCCATGGTTATCGTGGCAATACATAGGTTAACAAATGGGTTTATTTTAAATGTAAGAGCTGGTTAGTAATAAGCTTGAACTATTGGCTGAGCATTCCGTAATAATAAAAGCTTTTGTGTGTTTATTTGGGACCGGGCTCTTGGGACAGGAAAACTCTGCCTCTGTTTACACTATAGTAATAGTTCTTTTCTGTCAGAGTCAGGAAATGGCTTACTCAATTTCAGGGTGACAAGATTATGAGCACATACTGTCTCATTTACTCCTTTAGGACACTGTGTTTCCAAAGCAGATTTTGTCTCTTTGCTGGGGCAAGAGAAGATGCCCTCTGTGGTGCAAAGAGAGCTGGCACCAGGCTTGTTCTCAGGCGAGTGTGGAGATGGTATGGTGACGTCACTGTTGCTCTGGATAGGATGCAAATCCTCACCACCACACACTGGAAACTGTCAAGTCTGACAAGTCTAAAGAGGAATATCATACTCTTAGATTTCAGAATGACTCCTTTCTTTGTGTCTTCTTTTAACAGCTCATTTCTGTTGGTGGAGACAACTTGTTTTTTTCCCAGTCGCCCAGGCCCGAAATAATCACACAGAAGCTTTATTAATTACAACACTGCTTGGCCTATTAGCTTATGCATATTCTTAGCTAACTCTTACATCTTAAATTAACTCACCTCTATTAATCTGTGCATCACCACAAGGTTGTGACCTAACAGCAAGGTTCTGGCTGGCGGCTCACATCTTTCTCCTTTGGTGGCTACATGGTATCTCCCCAACTCCGCCTAACTCCGCCTCTATCTCTGCTTGGAATTCCTGCCCTGCTGCGCTCTGCCCTGCTGGTAGGCCAAAGAACCTTTATTCATTACCAAATGGCAACAGAACACACTCACAGCATACAGAGGGGACTCCCACATCACATTTCCCTGTAGTTTTTTTTATTCTCACCCACTTGGCTGCTTGTCAGACTTTCAGTTTCTTGGGCATCTTTAAAGGTTAAATGGCTTTTTGTTTCTTTTGCCTATCAGCTGGGCATTAGTAGATGTGTGTGTTTGCGTGTTCACACGCCTCTCTATGCCTGTGTGTGTGTGTTTGCGTGTGCACACGCCTCTCTATGCCTGTGTGTGTGCATGTGTGAACTATTGAAGAATCTCTCTAATGGAGAAGATTAGATATCTTATATAAGATAAGATGTGGATAACTTGCATGAAATAACTGACATTTTTGACTCAGGTATTGCAGAGAAACAAGGACATTAAAGGAGAGAACTTTTTTTTTTTTTTTTTGGATCTATTTTAGGCCAGCAGTTTGTATGTGAGGCCCAGGATCTGTTTCCAAAGCAAGACTCGGATGCTGAAGGATTAACAGACAGACCTTCTAGCACTAAACTTGAGTGTTCCACCTTCAGAGAAGATTGGGATTCTGAGTGTGTGTTTGAAATGAATGGTCAAGACATACCATTTGAGCAAGAGACAGTTACTCGGAACGAAGCCTTCTCAAAAGGGAGAGATCATGCGTATATCAAATCTGGAAGATGGTTTCATTTGAACATTTCAGAAGAGAAAAGTCATAATTGTGATTCAGGTAAAAGTTTTCCCCAAAATTCAGTGGTCGTAAAGGAACCAGGAATCTATGCAGGAAAAAAGCTTTTCAAATGTAATGAGTGTAAGAAAACTTTCACCCAGAGCTCATCCCTTACAGTGCACCAGAGAATTCACACTGGAGAGAAACCCTACAAATGCAAAGAGTGTGGGAAGGCCTTCAGCGATGGCTCCTCTTTCACACGGCACCAGAGGTGCCACACAGGCAAGAAGCCGTACGAGTGCGTCGAGTGTGGAAAAGCTTTTATACAGAACACCTCCCTTGTTCGTCACTGGAGATACTATCACACCGGGGAGAAACCCTTTGATTGCATCGACTGTGGTAAAGCCTTCAGTGACCACATAGGGCTTAATCAACATAGGAGAATTCACACTGGAGAGAAACCGTACGAATGTGACGTGTGTCACAAGTCCTTTCGATATGGCTCATCCCTCACTGTGCACCAGAGGATTCATACTGGAGAAAAACCATATGAGTGTGACATTTGCAGGAAAGCCTTCAGCCATCATGCATCGCTCACTCAGCACCAAAGGGTGCATTCTGGAGAAAAGCCCTTTAAGTGCAAGGAATGTGGGAAAGCTTTTAGGCAGAATATACACCTTGCTAGTCATTTGAGGATCCATACGGGGGAAAAGCCCTTTGAGTGTGGGCAATGTGGGAAATCCTTCAGCATCAGCTCACAGCTTGCCACCCATCAGCGAATTCACACGGGAGAAAAGCCTTATGAATGTGAGGTGTGTAGTAAAGCGTTTACGCAGAAGGCTCACCTTGCACAACACCAGAAAACTCACACAGGAGAGAAACCATATGAATGTAAGGAGTGTGGCAAGGCCTTCAGCCAGACGACTCACCTCATTCAGCATCAGAGGGTTCACACCGGGGAGAAGCCCTATAAGTGTCTGGAGTGTGGGAAGGCCTTTGGTGATAACTCTTCCTGCACTCAGCACCAGAGGCTTCACACCGGCCAGAGGCCTTATGAGTGTGTGGAATGTGGGAAGGCCTTCAAGACCAAGTCATCCCTTATCTGTCATCGTAGATGTCACACTGGAGAGAAACCTTACGAGTGTAGTGCATGTGGCAAAGCCTTTAGCCATCGCCAGTCCCTTAGTGTACATCAGAGAATTCATTCTGGGAAGAAACCGTATGAATGTAAGGAATGTAGGAAAACCTTCATCCAAATCGGACACCTTAACCAACATAAGAGAGTCCACACTGGAGAGAGAATGTATAACCGTAAGAAGGGCAGGAAGGCCTTCAGGCAGACTGCACATTTTGCTCACCATCAGCGAATTCATTCTGGAGAGTCACCCGCTCACCCTTCTTTGCCTTCCACATCCAGTCCGGTGGATGTCTTCCCCAAATTTGTCTGGAATCCATCCTCACTTTCACCCTCATAATCTCAAAATATTGCCATTTCCACTACACTGCTTTGAACAATCATTTCCCTGTCCCTTTGTTCCCTCTGTCTATTACAATACAGTTATTCATGTTTCAGTTGGGTTGAGTTATTTTTGGAGTCTCAATGTAATTAATTTGCTCATCAAAAACTTATATTCATTGGTTAATGCTTAAGATGTTCTTAGCACAGTGCCTGACCCGTACCAAGTATTATAAGCGTGATTCTTTTATTTATTTATTTATTTATTTATTTATTTTTTGGTTTTTCGAGACAGGGTTTCTCTGTGGCTTTGGAGCCTGTCCTGGAACTAGCTCTGTAGACCAGGCTGGTCTCGAACTCACAGAGATCCGCCTGCCTCTGCCTCCCGAGTGCTGGGATTAAAGGCGTGCGCCACCATCGCCCGGCTAGCGTGATTCTTTTAAAAGTTTATTTTTGAAAATGGAAATTTTATTGTGGTCAGCCCTGATAAAAATGGTGCAGTAGAAACCCGGTTTCAGAACAGGAAGGGAGTCCTCTGAGTTGTTGATGAGGCTTGCTTCTTTTCCTTGAAAGCTTGTTTCTAAGCCACGGGTATGGTGGAGTCATCTGTAGTCTTAGTGTTCATGAATTCAAGGCCAGCTGGGGCAACTCAGTGAGCCCCTATCTCTAAATAAAAAGGGAACAGTTGATCCCATACTGCTGAACTAGGTGACTGTAGGGTAATAGAACTTTCGTGAGAAAGCTCTGCTGTAATACCCATGACAGTAAAAGGATAGGTAACATAAGTATGTAGGCTACCCGAACAAATGAACCAAAACAGCTGGAAAAGTGCAAGGTTTTATATGTGTTTAGTTAAAACTACCAACAAATTACTTAAGAGTGGAAAAACTCGGAAGGATTTGATGTGTTTAAAGTCACTGGTTTACGAATGCATTCTTGGTAAACGTTCAATGAAGCATTCACTTGGGTAAACTGATCTATAGTAGGGGGCAGCAAACTGACTTACGAAGGCTCACTGATAATTTTTTTATGGTCTGTAATCTAAATTTCTGAAAAGGTGTTTAAAGTGATTTTAAACATCGGAGGAGTGTTTTCAGCCCGATGACTGTGAGAAACTTGATTTCAGTGTCTGGGTGAAGCTGTGTTGGCATGCAGACACAACCACAGGTTCACAGTGTCCGGGTGAAGCTGTGTTGGCATGCAGTCACAGGTTCACAGTGTCTGGGTGAAGCTGTGTTGGCATGCAGCCACACATTCACGTACATAGTGTTGGTGGTGCTTCCGTCTCTACGGAGGGGACGTTGTGATGTAATGAAGGCCATCTGGCTCAGAGAGCCAAAGTAGAGTTTTATTGAGCCACAGCCATGGTCATTGGTTTATCGACACTCTTTGTTCTTTAACAGTGGCAGAGTTGATTAGTTGCACAGGAGACTGTATGGCCACATTAAGCCATAAATATTTACAGTTGAAAATAGAGGAGAATGCACACAAGTTTCTAACCTCATGGCAATAGTAAACCCCGACCAAAAGACTCAAACACAAGCCCAAGAATATTGGGCTTCGCAGGTTAAAGTACCTGTTGCCAATCCTGATGACCTGAGTTTGATTCTTGGACTCATGTGGTGGAGGGAGAAAACTCCCTCATGAGAGTTGTCCTCAAGACTGTCACACCTTCACACGAGTGCTGTCACATGCACACTACAAATACAAGCAACAGATGCTCTAAAAATGCAGCTTATAGAGCAAGTTATGAAGAGATGACATTATTAAATGACATATAAAACTCAATAAAATATATATTAAGAAAAACCACTAAAATGTTTATGAATTATCTTTCCAAAACGAGTCCCATGAGGATATGTTGACAACTTCAGGAAACATTCAGGCAAGAATATAAATTTTTTTAAGGATTTTTTTTGACAGGGTCTCTATGTAGTCTTTGACCATTATGGAACTTGCTATGTAGTCCAGGCTGTCTTTGAATTCATAGAGATCTGTCTGCCCCTGCCTCCCAAGTACTTGGATTTTTGTTTCTTTGTGTGTGTGTATGTGTGCCACATGTGTTTGTGTACCCACAGAGGCCAGAAGAGAGCTCTGCATCCTCAAGGGAGCAACTCAAAACAGGAATTTAAAAATTCCAAATACACTACTCCAATTCAAAGAGACACTGATTTAATACATGCTGAGGAACGACAGGAGGAAGATATTTAATGTCTCCTTTTACTTTATATTGTTCCTTTATGAGCAGAATACTTTGTACCTGTAGTGAGGGCACTGCAGTTCCTAACATACAAGTCTCAAATCTGTCAGGCTGGTTCAGACAGTGTTTGCTGGCACTGCATCGTGTGACCGCATCCACAGAGCAAAGTACCCGTGTTCAGAAGCAAAGCTGCAGCATGAGGCTGCCACCAAAGTACCCGTGTTCAGAAGCAAGGCTGCAGTGGGCCCTTTAATGCAGCATGAGACTGCCACCAAAGTACCCGTGTTCAGAAGCAAGGCTGCAGCATGAGGCTGCCACCAACGAGACCTCAGTTTCACTGTGTGTCAGATTCCTAATGTTTGGTTGTGCATCCAGGAGCCTTTTGTTGTTTATAGCCTTTTCAGTATTTACATTCAGTTACACAGTTTTTAAGAATCTGGGATCTAGAGTTCACTGAGCCTTATAACGACTGCTGGGAACAGCCCTGGATGTGTCTGGACCTTTAGGGGCCAGAGAAATCGTCTGTCATAGTTGCACACTCAAGGCATGCCACAGTGTTCAAGACCAATGTATTTGCATAAAGGTAGTCCATTTGGCTGTTTTGGTAGACAGTCCTATTGCCTAAAGTAGCCAGGCAGCAAGAGAGAGAGAGTCCAATAGCTGCCAATAGAGGCCCAAATTGCCTCATCCAGCATCTTTGCCTATTAACAAGAAAATGAGCAACACCAGGCGTGCTTTTAAGACTTTAAACAAAGTTGGGGTGGTGATGGCACACGCCTTTAATCCAAGCACCCGGGAGGCAGAGGCAGGCAGATCACTGTGAATTTGAGGCCAGCCTGGTCTACAAGAGCTAGTTCTAGGACAGGCTCCAAAGCTACAGAGAAACCCTGTCTTGAAAAAACAATAATAAAAAAGAATTTAAACAAATTTGCATTGAGGATAGTAGTAGTGACTTCTCCCTCTGTAGACCAGGCTGACCTCAAACTCGCAGAGATCCACCTGCTTTTGCCTCCCAAGTGCTGGAATTAAAGCCCTGTGCTACCATGCCTGACTAGTAACCTCTTAAGAGTATGCTTTAATTATACTGAACACCTGATTGTTACACGTAGATCTGTCTCGGTTGTCTGCCCCACAGATCCTATGTGTCAAACACTCTTGTCACTGAAAATTAAGCCCTGAACAGGGTGGAGTATTGAACAGTCTTGGAATATTCAGCCTTGCAGGGAAAGGTAAACCAGGGATGAAGGTGGGTTATGTCAGGGAGCAATAACTAAAGCACGAAATCGGTCACACATACTCAAATCCCACGTACATAAATCACAAAATCAAATATTTCTCTCCTGTCTTTTGATCTGTGTCCCTAAATCTAAATCTCACCCCTTGCCTACAGCTGTCTTCTACTGCAGACGCCACAGCAGCTTCCTTGGCTTTAAAGCTTGGTCTCCCATTTTGGGCCTGTCCACTTATCTTCCCAAACTGCTAGTCACATGTGAGCGGGTGATAAGTAGTCTGCCTGTACTTCTGGATCCAGACACGAGGCTGAGAGGCTTCTGAGGACTGTATTCTGAATCTGCAGACACCAATTAGGGAACAGAGAGTGGCGACCAACTGGCCTTCTGCGGAGGCTCCTTTTTCAGCCTCCTGGGACATCTCATCCTACACTCGCTGGGTGAGGACTACATATCCCAGTTGCCATTGCGGAGCACCGCACGACCACCTCCGGTAAAAACCGGAAGTCAGTGATGCTTCAAGCCTGTCGGGGTCTCAGGTGGAATTCTTGTTGGGTTTGGAGTGGAAGTTAGACCTGATCTGAGAAGGCAGCTGGGCGTGGTGTTCAGGTCGGCGCGAGGGTGATCTGGTCTCCGTAGATCTGACACGCGTGTTGTGTGTGAGTGTGGGAATGTGGGACTGACCGGGAGGAGACTCTGGGGAAGTGTGAAACAGGATGCAAGGTGGGCGGGGCGGGGGGGGCGAAGTGTGGGACTTATTTCCCTGTTTGATTTCAGGTCCCAGCGGCGTGTGCTGGACCACAGTGCGTACTGGAATGAATGCAAGACCTCACTCACTATTAAATACGTGGTCTCGGTGGCAAACTCAAGAATCCATACACTGTCCAGGCAACTGAAGTATTTCTTGCTTGACTTTTCTAGAAGCAGGCACTGCTTAGGTAAGAATGAGAGATGGTTTGGGTGTGGCTAAAAAAACAAAAAATGAAATTTGAGATTTGAGGAAGATGTTATATGAAGTCCCAAGTGCCATAGGAAGGTGTCGTGGTCTCCAGTCCTGGTAAACTCCAGTCTAAAGATTTGGAAAACCACTTGGGTTTACAGTGTGGAGCTGAGTACAGGAAGGGACTTTGACTTGCCCAGAGTCACTTAACCAGACTCTGCCATCTAGGTCTCGGTGTTACCTGGAATTCAGGGAGTGAATACCAGCAATAAGAACACTTCTGAGTGCCCTCGTGCTGTTCAAGGGCATCAGCATTTAGTTTTTACCTCCTGCATTCATGTGGTGCACATACATGCACTCAGGTACACACACATGCATATACAGTGAAGTAAATACATATTTTAAAAAGAAAATCAGGATTAATTCAGCTACTCTCCCCTTCATAATTAAAGGAACACGTCAGAGAAGTTGACAAGGGACTTCATCAAAACTCATTTGGCATAAAGCAAATTGCAAGCTGGTCTCATGACAATTCTCTGAAATCCGCAAGGGCTGTTTGTTGTATGGAAGTAACAGCCCTTGGGGAAATGGCTTCTGCAGGAATTCACCTCATTACATCTTGACTAATTTCTCAGGGAGGTATATTTTGTGGTGTCTACTTGAATAAAGACTGCTGGAGTCAAGCATACTAGCTTGGTGACTGTATTTCTCATTGTTTACAGCTGTTTGATTTATAAAAAAGTCTTCCCAGAGTTTTACTATGTAAAATGTTGAGGTTACTCCCTACTTTCTTTTAAAGGCTGGGGAGATTAAAAGAGTATTAAAAGGACTGGAGAGATGGCTCAGCAGTTAAGAGCACTGGATGCTCTTCCAGAGGACCTGACTTCTATTATCAGCCCCCATATGATGGCTCACAACAGTCTGTAACTCCAGTCCCAGGGAAGCCAATGTCATTTTCTGGTCTCCATGAACAAGGTATCCATGTGGTACACAGACATGTAGGCAAAACACCCATACATATAAGATAAGATTTAAAAAAAATAGAGAAAGAATACTAAATATGCAACATATCCTATTAATGAATTGGTCTAGCTGGGGGAAGTGTTGCAGGATTGGTTGGTTGTAGCTGTGTTCTTAGGTTTCCACAGAACACCTGGTTAGTTGGTCTCAGTTGCTTGGAATGTCTATTTCATTGTTTGTCTTTCTCTCTTTCTGTGTTGTTGGTGTGTTTCTGAGTTGTATTTTTTGCAGCTTGATCTGCACGTCTTATTTCTCATCTGTCAGTTGTATACTTTCAGGGTGAAGCCCTTCTACAAATGAAGAACCAGGAAGAAGTGAAAGGTTCAGGAAGGAACCAAGTTGGTGAAAGCCATGTCCGTGGTGAGTGAGTTTGTGTTCCCTCCCGCCTTTCTGAAGTGAAGTCTTGTGCTTAAGGATTTGGCACTGTTTATTTCCCTTTGAAAGTTACTAAGACTAGAAGCTTGGGGATTTTTTCCTATTTCCTCTGTTTCTGATGCTTGGAGCATGGGGGTGGACTCAACAATCCATTGCATTGTCCCCCTCAGAGTTGTTTGTTTGTTTTTTCATCTGAGAAAGGACTGGATCTAAACCTCTTCTGTTGTAAGAAGATTGCTTGTTTGTTTCCCAGCCGCCCAGCAGCTCAGACCCAAAATAACCACACAGAAACTGTGTTAATTAGATCACTGCTTGGCCTCTTAGCTCTAGCTTCTTATTGGCTAACTCTTACATATTAATTAAACCCATCTCCATTAATCTGTGTATCGTCACATGGTAGTGGCTTACTGGCAAAGTTTCAGCATGTCTGTCTCTGAGGACGGCTCCATGTCTTCTCCCTGACTCTGCCTCCTTTCTCCCAGCATTCAGTTTAGTTTTCCCCGCCTACCTAAGTTCTGTCCTATCAACAGGCCAAGGCAGTTTCTTTATTTACCAATGCTATTCACAGCATACAGAGGGGAATCCTACATCACTCTTCTTTGTGTTCAGTCCTTTTATGGGCCTCAGAAGGCAGAAGAATAATCTTTTAGGGAACTTTGAGAACCAGTACATGCCTGGGCCCTATGAGAGTCGATCGTCTCTTAGAAATATGAAAAAGCACAAAGCACTTACATAGTAGGGTAAGTGCTTCAGGAAGAGAGAAAACTTACTGCAGAGTACTGGGAAAGGAACACTGACTGACCACCCAATGCAGTGGGAAAGGACCGCTGACTGACCGTCTGATGCAGTGGGGAAGGACCGCTGACTGACCACCCGATGCAGTGGGGAAGGACCGCTGACTGACCGTCTGATGCAGTGGGGAAGGACCGCTGACTGACCGTCTGATGCAGTAGGTGAATTAAAATGACGTCCCTTCCTTTATACGAGTGAAGGTCAGGACAGTTCACACAGCCTGGCATGAAATCTGCATTAGTTTCTTCTTGTGCTATGATAAAATACCAAAAAGCAGCTTATGGAAGAAAGAGTTTAGGTTAGCTTATGGTTCCAGGGATTAGCATCTATCATCGTGGGGGAGGCATGGAATCAAGCGGCCAGAGTAGGACACTGAAATGTCTTTTCTGAACCACACACAGGGAAGATACAGAGTGATCAGGAAATGGGATGAGGCTACACCCTTGAAAGCCGCATCCCAGTGGTGTACTTCCTTTAGAAGGCTCCACTTCCTGAAGTGTCCACAACTTCCCCAAACAGCAGGTAATAAAGGGTTTGATAGCTGAGCTGATGGAGGACATTTTTCATTCAAACCACCAGAAAGTTCATTTTATTTTCTCTCCTTGCTTCCTTGGTGAAGGATCTTTGTGAAGGGAGGAGCAGCACAGTTGGACTCTGCTGAGAGGAAGTGTTGGAGGGGGGAGCAGCACAGTTGGACTCTGCTGAGAGGAAGTGTTGGAGGGGGGGCAGGCAGTTAGACTCTGCTGAGGGGAAGTGTTGGAGGGGGGGCAGGCAGTTAGACTCTGCTGAGGGGAAGTGTTGGAGGGGGGGCAGGCAGTTAGACTCTGCTGAGGGGAAGTGTTGGAGGGGGGGCAGGCAGTTAGACTCTGCTGAGAGGAAGTGTTGGAGGGGGGCAGGCAGTTAGACTCTGCTGAGGGGAAGTGTTGGAGGGGGGCAGGCAGTTAGACTCTGCTGAGGGGAAGTGTTGGAGGGGGGCAGGCAGTTAGACTCTGCTGAGGGGAAGTGTTGGAGGGGGGAGCAGCACAGTTGGACTCTGCTGAGAGGAAGTGTTGGAGGGGGGGCAGGCAGTTAGACTCTGCTGAGAGGAAGTGTTGGAGGGGGGGCAGGCAGTTAGACTCTGCTCTGAGGAAGTGTTGGAGGGGGGCAGGCAGTTAGACTCTGCTGAGAGGAAGTGTTTGGGGGGCAGGCAGTTAGACTCTGCTGAGGGGAAGTGTTGGAGGGGGGAGCAGCACAGTTGGACTCTGCTGAGGGGAAGTGTTGGAGGGGGGCAGGCAGTTAGACTCTGCTGAGAGGAAGTGTTGGGGGGGCAGGCAGTTAGACTCTGCTGAGAGGAAGTGTTGGAGGGGGAGCAGCACAGTTGGACTCTGCTGAGGGGAAGCGTTGAAAGGACTTGGGATTCCTGAGCTGCTTCTGGAACAGAGTATTTTTCTGTTTTGAGAAGTAAGTACAGCATAACCAGGCAGCAAAGGCCAGTGAGCATCTCACCTAGGTCATTCAGACCATTGGTGCAATTACTTGCACACATTCTTTTTATTGATTTATATATGTTTTAGATTTTTGAGACAGAGTTTCACTGTGTAGCCCTGGCTGTCCTGGAACTCACTCTGTTGACTGGAATGGCCACGAACTCACAGAGATCCTCCTGCCTCTGCCTCCTGAGTGCTGGGATTAAAGGTGTGTGTCACCAGAGCCTGGCTGCTTGCACACATTAGTTTATCTTGTAATGAGCCCTAGGGTCACATGAGCCCAGGAGCCTGAGCTCAGATTTTGTTTGTCATTTTAGGGCTAGTGACTCACAGATGTGGCCATAAACTTCTGCCAAGGTGAGTGGGAATGATTGAGTCTTGCCCAGAGGCGTTTGCACAGGAAGGCGATGTGGGACACCTACAGGAACCTGGATGGTAACACCAATGTTCACTGTGACTCAGTGTCTTCTCTTGCTTTATTGTTTTCCAACACCATCCCTCTTCAAGACCATTTAGATGGGTGGTTCTCAACCTGTGGGTCATGTAACCTCTTTGGGGCGTGTCCAATGAGCCTTCACAGGCAAGGGTTGCCTAAGATCATCGGAAAACACAGATATTTACATTAAGATTCTTAACAGTAACAAAATTGCAGTTATAAAGTAGCAATGAAGATAATTTTGTGGTTGGGGGACACCAAGCCACAAGGAACTGCATTAAAGTGTTACAGCATTAGGAGGGTTGAGAACTGCCAATTTAGACAACTGTAGCTCTTGCTTACAAACTTCACTGTCAGCTTTCATGTTTTATGTACAGATCTTTGCATTTTAAAACCAGATGAGATCCCATTACTGTAGCACGAGAAGGAGCCATGATGACAGACGGAGAGGTGTCCTGGTGAGTGCAGGATGACTGGAGCTGGAGAAGGAGCCATGATGACAGACGGAGAGGTGTCCAGGTGAGTGCAGGATGACTGGAGCTGGAGAGGTTGGCTCAGCAGTCTCTTCCTTTGGCATCTGAGGGATAATTCAGATGCTCTCCCGGATTGGTGCAGGCTGTCATAGCAGTTTCTTTTCCACTGGCATAACCTACCACATTTACCTTTTTTCTTGTGCATACCAAAGTCTTTCTTAACTTCTGCCCCTCTGATCAGGTGATAGGTAAGGAAGCTAGCTGAGCATGAGCCAGGGGTGACTCAGGAGGCAGGATTCTTCAATCATTTCTACTTCCGTTCCTGCTTGGATTCTTGTCCCGATTTCCCTCTGTGATAGACTGTGACCTGGAAGTGTAAGCAGAAATAAATCCTTTTCTCTCCCAAGTTGCTCTGGGTTGGAGTGTTTTATCACAGCAACAGAAAAGCAGAATAAGTAAGCATCTAATCCAAGCCAAAATAAGTTATGAATAGTCTGTAGTCGTTGGTGTTTCTAGAGATCAAAGTAGGAGTAAATGAATTGGAGAACTGTAGATCTAATGTAATTCAAGATGTATGTCTTTAAGAAAGGAAGAAAACATGCAAACTGAGGACAAATGAGAGGAAACATGTAAAACCACAAACACAAAGGACTCAAGAGAATCGCATGAAGGTCTGGGGTGTGGGTTAGCCGATACTAGACCTGACTTTGATCCCCAATGATCCTCGCCCCCTGAATACAAAGTAGCATGACATGACTCTGTTCTCCCCAGCTCTGTCACTAATGTGAAGTCTGGATGAACGGGTGGTATCCTAGGAGAATGCGGAAGTGTGGGTGAGCAAAGCTGAAATACAGGCGAAAGGCTAGAAAGCAATACAGGAGGCTGTTTGTTGAGTGCCTCTCCAAAGAGAATAGACCACAGTCTAGTTTCACAAATCAGTTCATAAAGCCTTTGAGGAAAAACGTCCTCAACATTATTGTTTACACTGAAATGTGTCGGAAGTAGTAAGAAAGCAAGCTGTGGTCAGAGACAGCTCAGTGGGCAAGAGGACTTGCTGTTCTTGTAGAAGACCTGAGTCTGGTTCTCAGCACCCATTTGGGGCCTTACAACCACCCCTAACTCCAGTTCTGATGTACTCTTCTGGCCTCTGCAGGTACCAGGCACATACAGAGAAAACACTCGTACACACAAAACTGAAATATTTTAAGTAAAATGAAAAAGAGAGTTTACAAAATAATTGTTGATGAATATAGCATGTTGTTTGATAACAGAGTTTACCAAAACCACCCAGCATGTAAGTTGCAGGTAAGTTCCACCCATAAGTATTGGTATAAAGAAAAAACTGTATATAATATTGACCTTATGGCCAGTGATGGCTTATTCCAGGTGTGCTTGGATGGTGGTGGCATCTGATTTAACCTCTTCTGGGCTCTTGATTTGCAAAGTTCCTTCCTAGCATGTATTAAAGGAAATGTTTATCAATATCTCTCAGACATGAAGTACATGTGGGTGACTAAAGAATTATGTCCAAATCGGGTATTTATTTATTTATTTATTTATTTATTTTTCAAGACAGGGTTTCTCTGTGTTCTGGCTGTCCTGAAACTCATTTTGTAGACCAGGCAATCTTTGAAGTCACAGAGATCTGCCTGCCTTTGTCTCCCAAGAACTGGGATTAAAGGCATGTGCCACCACTGCACAACATATCTGGAACATTTATAAAGAGAAAATTTCCTAGGCAGTAATTGTGGAAAGGCTTACAAATTATGCTCTGGAATATTCCACATTAGGGGAAAACTGGAGCTGTAAAGACTTGCTTGGAATTGAATCATTCAGCAAACACATTTTAGGCTTGGGACAGCCACTCATACGGATATCTTTATTGTGGAAAGAGACCACTGCTCAGTCTGGGACAAACTTCCACATGCATTCATTATCTAATACAGATTTTTTTTCCCCATGGGAGAGAGAATATATACTTTTGGTACAGAAAATAATTCATGAAAAAGTATAAATAAGACTTTGGAGAAAAACAGGTAAAATGTAATGACTGAGAAAACATTTAACAAAATATCAAGCCTTACTCTTCCGCAGAGAATTCATACAGGGAGAAACCCCGTGAATGTATTGAATGTGGAGAGCCTTCAGCCATAGTGCCCACCTTCTTCAGCATCAAAGAGTAAACCCAGGAGAAAAGCCCTTTGAATGTGCTGGTTGTGGGAAGACATTCAGTCAGAATGCTCATTTTATTCAACACCAGAGTTCATACTGGGGAGAAAACTTACCAATGTAAGCAGTGTAATAAAGCCCTCAGCCAATGGGCACATCTTTCTCAACATCGGAGATTCGTACTAAAGAGAAAAACTCTGAATGTAAACGTAGAAAAGCCTGCGGGCAGAATGTGTGTCTTGCTCATCATCAGTGTCCTCATCTGGAGAGTCATCCTCAGTCATTTCTTTCTCACCCCCATGCCACCAAGCCCTGTAGTTTCCAGTCCACAGTATATCATTGTAGTGTGAGACACAACTATGCCATGTGTGTTTCTGTGATGCGATGAAGCTTGACCATCATGTGCCTCTAAGTGCTTCTTAGCACTCTTACCAGTTGTATCTTAAAGAACCGTGTGATCATGTTTCTTTCTGCTTAAAATACTTCCTTTGAGACATAGACAAATTTTAAAGGCTGGCTCCACAGTGCAGGTCGTCCAGCTAGTGCTGGGTGAGTGTGCAGTCCTGGGCGTGCAGCTAGTGCTGGGTGAGTGTGCGGTCCTGGGCGTGCAGCTAGTGTGTGCTGGGTGAGTGTGCAGTCCTGGGTGTGCTGCTAGTGCTGGGTGAGTGTGCAGTCCTGGGCGTGCAGCTAGTGTGTGCTGGGTGAGTGTGCAGTCCTGGGCGTGCAGCTAGTGCTGGGTGAGTGTGCAGTCCTGGGCGTGCAGCTAGTGCTGGGTGAGTGTGCAGTCCTGGGCGTGCAGCTAGTGCTGGGTGAGTGTGCAGTCCTGGGCGTGCAGCTAGTGCTGGGTGAGTGTGCGGTCCTGGGCGTGCAGCTAGTGTGTGCTGGGTGAGTGTGCAGTCCTGGGCGTGCAGCTAGTGTGTGCTGGGTGAGTGTGCAGTCCTGGGCGTGCAGCTAGTGCTGGGTGAGTGTGCAGTCCTGGGCGTGCAGCTAGTGTGTGCTATGTGAGTGTGCAGTCCTGGGCGTGCAGCTAGTGTGTGCTGGGTGAGTGTGCAGTCCTGGGCAGCTATTGCTGGGTGAATGCTACTGTTGAAGTAGAAATCTCTTTGGTTTGCCGTGGCAGTACATGGCCTTTGATCCCGTCAATCCAGAGGCAGGGAGCCAGAGGCAGGCCAGTCTCCAGGAATTCAGGGCCAGCGTGGTCTAAATAGTGGCTCCCAATGCTGTGTAGTGAAACCCTGCTTTGAAAAGTAGTTCCCTTATATGGGTCTGTAATAAAAGGCAGTTCGCCAAAACTGGGAAACCTACGCACTTGGAGCAGAGAGAAGCATTTGTTCTCCCAGGTGGTGGTAAAGTGACCTGTGAGGTAAAATGGTCACTTTGTAAGTATATTCCTTTGTAAGGATATAATTACGTAATACTAGTAACACTGTTGATGATGAACACTCCTCCCCTGACAGAATAAGCCAGTCAGAACAGCTTCTTGTTGTTAGCTCATGGGACCACAAGGGGCAGTATTAAAAACAAGTGAGAAAGCTTCAGTGGATACAGCCAGCTGAAAGTGTGGTTCAAGGGTGTGTGGTGGCGCACCCCTTTAATCCCAGCATTTGCGAGGCAGAGACAGGTGGCTCGATCTCTGGGTTTGAGGCCAGCCTTGTCTATGTCAAGTTCCAGGACAGCCAGGTCTATATTGAGAGATCCTGTCTCAAAACCCCAAAACAACCCCCCCCAAAAAAAACCCCACCACAGACAGTTTCTACACTATTTGAATTGTTACAGAGCATTAAAAAAATTGTAGTGAAATGTTCCAACTTGTTTCATGAGGTTGATAACCTAAGAACACAATAGCACTGCAGTTTTGTAGAACTCAGGTTTTTTTTTTTAACATTAAAAAATATGATCTGGCTGGGCATAGTCATGCACACCTTTAGTCCAAGTACTTGGGAGGGAGAGGCAGGTGGATCTCTGTGAATTTGAGGCTAGCCTGGTCTACAGAGTAAGTGCCAGGACAGCTAGAACTGTTAAATAGAACAGCCCTGTCTCGAAAAAACAAAATAAAATATGAATTGGTGGATTCTCAACATTTAGGAGGCTTGAGGATTGAAGGCCAGTCTGGCCTACATGGTAAAGACCCTTTTCCAAAAGAGCGAGTAGTAGGGAAGCTAGATGTGTCCCATAGAAGTAGTCGGGTAAGTGTGTTTCTCACACATAGTACATACATACATACATACAGTCAAATCTGCAAGCTCAGCCATAGTGCAATAACCCCAGTGTAGGCGTCAGTTAGCAGTTTGATTCTGACAGTGTGCAGATTTGTATCTATATAGTAAGGATTGTAGTTTACTGTTCATGATACAATACTCATTCCATTGATCATGAACATTCAGTAATGGATTAGGTAGAGTTTTAGGTGCTGGAGAGATGTGGTACAAAATGGACAGTTTCAGATTGATTGAAAGAAAACAAAAATCAATACTATGTGATAAATACTGTGTATCATAAAGATAAATTATCTAAAGGTGACTATTGGGAGTGCCGGGTGTGGGCAACCTGTGATCCTCCAGATGGGCTTTGGAAGCAGAGGATGAGGGAGGAACAGTAGCCATCACAAACAAAGGATGCAATGAGGCTACCATAGCCCTAGTGTGAATAGTTATGAGTGTCTGATGGAGAACTGGTACTTACATAGGATCGTAAGAATTTTGTCACTCACAGGGATTAGAAACTTGGTGGAAGAGCTAGGCAGTGGTGGCACACACCTTTAATCCCATCTCTTAGGAGGCAGATCTCTGAGTTTGAGGCCAGCCTGGTCTGCAGAGCAAGTTCCAAGACAGCCAGGGCTATACAGAGAAACCCTGTCTGGAAAAGCGAAAACAAACAAGCAATAAACAAAAAGAAAGAAAGAAGAAAGAAACTTCAAAGTAGGATTAAATTTTTTTTTTTTGGTTTTACATGTGTGTTTTGTTGAGATATGATTCACATACTGTGCAATTTT